AAACCATCTAGACAGAGTGCATCACTTTCATTAGTTAGGAAGCAATTTGAGTGCTGAGTTCCCAGACGCCTGTTACGTTAACTCTGTTCTGCACAGGTTATTCCAACATAATCTAGTTATATAATTATTCAATTATAGTTGGTGAGTTGGTGGTTTTATTCAGGGGGTTTTTTTTGGTTTGGTTTGTTTTGGAAACAGGGTTTTGCTAAGTTGCCCAGGCTGGGCTCAAACTTGCAATCCTCCTGCCTCAGCCTCCCAGAGTGCTGAGATTATAGATGTGTACAATACCAGGCCGATTTTCCCATCTTAAATGCTTTTATTTTCCTAAAGACTTAAACTATCTCAAGTTTATTTTTTCTATTTAAACATTAAGTAGTTGCCTGTTGGATAAAAGATCAGTATCTTTGTGTTGTTGTTTTGTCATTGCTGTGGAGACAGGGTCTTGCTGTATTTATGTAGCTCAGGCTGGCCTCAAAGTCAAGGCAATCCTCCTGCCTCAGCCTCCCAAGTGCTGGGATTACAGGCATGCTCCACCAGGCCCAGCAATATCTTTTCTTGCTTTCTATTTTGCCCAAAATTTTAGATTTTTTTAGAAAAAGTGTTGTTTTAGTCCATTTTCTGCTGCTACAACAATACCATAGACTGGGTTGTTTATTTTTAAAGGTATTTTTTATTTCTAATTGATCTAGAGGCTGGGAAAGCCAAGAGAGAATGATGCCTGCTTATGGGCTTTGTGCTGCATCACCCCATGGGAGAAAACAAGAGGACAAGAGTGCAGGAACAAGAGAAAAGCAAAGAAGTCAAACTCACATTTACAATAACGCACTTGCCGTGCGGGACATGGTATGTGAAAGGCCAGGGCTGAGAGCAAGAAAAGAATTTACCAACAGTCAAGGAATACAGAAAACATAAGAGTTTATTCATATATTGCAAGAAAGCAGTGGATGAGTCCAAGAGAGGATCATACCATCAGGGTGAAAGACTGAGGTTTTGATAAGGGTTTGAGGACATGATGATGGCGTGGGGTAATCAAAACAAGTATCCCTGAGGGCTTCAGGTCAGCTTGCACTGTCTCAGAGGAATAGCTGCACTGTGTCAAGCTTTATACGTTTTCTTTATTAGTACATATTTGCTGTACATGCATTTTACAATCATCTTGGGGAGGTGCTACATGTACATAACACAGCTTCTTTTATTTCCCTTCCCCCTCCCTCCCTCCTCCTCTAATTCCTCTTTCCCCCTTGTCATTCTTAATGATATTATCTTTGTTCATGATTATGGCCTATAATGTCCACATTCACTGAGGTTATCTGTCAAGTGTCATACACTGAAGGAGCCAATTTGACATGGTCCACTACTCTGGTCCTCACTGAAGGTCCTTAAGGCTTGAGATAAGGGCACCTATATGCATCACCTCTGAGAAAGGGCCATTGAGGAAAATATCTGTGGTCCACATCAAACACATACTTATTTACTTTTACTTGTAGTTTAGCCTGTGCAGAATGTTATGGCCTCTTCATAGTTGCCAGTTCAGGAAAACCTGATGGGGCAAAATTCTAGGTTTACTGTAACTGCAATGTACTTAGACATTAATTCATTTTCTGCCATTCAGACTTCATACCACTCTTGCAATAACCCAGTCTTATGATAACAGACCTAATCCATGGTGACAGCTCTACCCTCATCTCTTAGAGGCAATTAAATTTCAACATAAGTTTTGATGGAGACATTCAAATCATGGAAAGTGTGTACTATTTTTAAAATGGAAAAATACAAAGATAAGATTCTAACAACATTAAAATTTTATTCAATTTAAAACATTTTAGTGTTCATGTCTGGAAAACAATATTCATACTCTCATATTTTTTCATGTAAAAGTATTCTGTCAGCAATTTTATTATTTTCAATGAAAACGTCTTTAAGTGTGAGTTAATGCATTAAAACTTGTGTCATACCTGGATGAAGAATATTAGTCTACAAGGTCTACATCCTGTTGTCTACAAAGATATATGTATAAAACACTTCACCTGTGCTTGGCTGTTATTCATGCTTAGAAATGAACATGAAATTTTAATGAAGCAGTGGAATTTTGACTCTCAAGAGACTTGAAAAGAACTTGCTTCTAATTCGTACTTTTTCGATGAGACTATCACGTGATAGTTAAGCGATCTACAGTGTTCAAAGCAAGCCTAACCCTACCAATGAATGAGCGAATCACTTCTCGAGATGCATTTGCTTTTGTACTACTATCAGTCCTTAACATGACAGAGCTAGCTAACAACAGGTAGCTCTGTGAGGAAAACAGAAAATCTGAAAAATTGCAAGAAATATAAAGTTAAATATTGGAAAAAAGATTATGCTGCAAGTATATGTGCAATAATTTCTATACATAGAAATTATTAAATATATTCCCCTAAGAAGTGTTTATCAAAAAATGCTAAAGTTTTTAATCAATACATTTATTCCTTTGTGGCCTGAAAGTAAACACAACCTTTCTGGAGCAGAGATTAGAGTTATTATTGCTGACATCAAGAAATGCAACATTTCACCACACCTAACACCTCAGGTGATACAATGAGAACCAGTTGGTCAGGCCTATACCTTACAGGGGTTGAATTAAGGGAAGGAGAAGTATCCCAGAATCAAGAATCTAGGAGTTGGTGCAGGACTATTACCCAACTGCTACTTTCCCCTGAGAAAGGGAAAGAATACTCATCTAAGGCAGTGGAGGCCAAGACACTGGCGCAAACAATGGGCTATTTGTTATCATTCAGAGCTCTAGAAGGTTCTTGATCATTGACCTAAGAATGCAAATTCTCCCTGAGAAGAAAAAGAAAAGGTCTCTGGATTCTTATCCAATGGAATGTAAATAAAATCTCTCGGGGGGGGGGGGGGGGGAGATAAGGTAAATTTCACTGGGTTTACAATGTTAGGATTGTCTCTAAGGCTCTGGGTTTTATATGCCTTTAAAATATAAATATATGCCTCCTGGAAATTCTCATCAGTTATCTTTTAACTTCCAGGGGTTGTCCTTTAACCCTGATTTCAGGGTTCATAACTTAGAAAATCCAGACAATGCAGAAACATGAAAATACATACTTCTTATTCTTAGTATTATATACTAAAACTAACCAAAGAATTGATATTTACAGCAGTGGTTAATACTTGACACCTTTGTAAAAATAATACTGTTCAAATCCTTTGTGTAGAGCCCTGGGAATTCCTCAGAGGGACCCCAGAGCTTCTCTGGTGATAGTGGAAGGAGGAAGGTAAAGTAGGTGAACAGAGTGACCCCAAACCTGCTTTAAACACAACACGTGCTTTTATACGATGGGCTTCCAAGTATAGTTTTTTGGTTTTGGGGGTTTTTTTGGTACTGGGGATCAAACTCAGTTCCTTGCGCTTGCGCAGCAGGCAGCGAAGCCACTGAGCTAAATCCCCGGCCCTCCAAGTATAGTTTTTGAAGATAAGGTTTTATGGGAAAAAAAACAGAAAACACAAAAAAATAAACTGAAATCAAATGAAAAAAGAAACACCACAAAAAGTCTTAGAAACAGACAAGGTCCTATTTATACTTACACGTAAACTTTCTTGTCTTAGTACTCTTATAATAGACAGCGGTCACATAGAAATATTTTAGGCAGTCAGACAAGGCTAGGCCCTTGAGGGAGTCAGTGCAGAAGATGAAAACATATTACAACTGTGACTAGAGGTACATCTGTTGAAGGCCAGGCCTTAAGATAAAGATGGAATGACCAGGCCTACATGTTTCCCCAAGGAATGAGCAATAATTAGAGTTTATACTATGACTGGTATCACCTGGTCCAGTAAAGTCCAGATAGGTATGAGTCACACAGATGAGTGACCAGAGAATTCGGACCCATCCCTTACCAAAAATGCCTTGTTCTTTCCATGTACCCATGCTATGTGACCTGCTTCCCTACTGGATCAATATTAGTTAACTGGTTATACTTGCGATTTTATTGGTTGATCATAGCTTGACCCATGTTGTACTCACCTCATGATTTAGCTCTATAAAACATTCTTAGAGAAGTAGCCTCAGTGACAACCCACTTTTGGGTCCCCTCCTGTCCCTCAGTAGCTATCTCTCAATAAATTTTTCCTACTCTTAATCTCTGTGGTTCCTTAGAATTCATTCTTCAACTTTGGGAGACACAAACTTGGTGTATCTAACATCTAGCAGATTGGGAGTTATGTTTTCCCCTATATCATCCTTACTTGCTTTAACATAGAACTTCTAAAACACAATAACCATAAAATCAATTACTTCTTGGGCTCCTCATGCAGCTTACAGGTGCTCAGAAAGTTCCTTAATTTTTTTTTTCTCTAATTTATGGTACTAAGGATTAAACCCAGGGACACTGAGCTACAAACCAGACCTTTTTTTTAAGTTTTGTGACACAGTCTTGCTAAGTCACTAAGCTGCCCTTGGCTGACCTTGAACTCACTATCCTCCTGCCTCAGACTCCAAGAATGTTGAGATTATAGGCATTCGCCATTACACCTGCCTCCTTGATGTTCTATTTGTTGATGCCGCCACATACAATGCCATGGAAGACAGCACCTACTAATGCTGGTCCTCCCTACACAATGCTCCAATATTCTTGTTTTTTTTTTAAAAAAAAAAAAAAAGGTCATGTATTTAACAAAAATGAGAAGGGCCTTTTTCCTCCACAGAAGGATGCACATCCATCATCTTAGGTTTTCACTTTCCTAATTCCAGGTAACCCAACAGGAAGCTTCCTCCTTTTCCCCTAATCTCTCTTCTCCTTAACAACATCACCATATAAAGAAATTATATCTACACAGACGTCTGGAGAATTCAGGCCCACCAATCCAGACAGACTATAATTCCCAGGTTAAAGTCTGGGAAGATACTGCCCATTTTTGGAAAGATCAAATAGTTAAAGTTATATCTACTAATCTCTAAGTCAAAAATAAACTACACAGTACCAATTTCAAAAATATACATGGCTTACCTATTGTATTTCTCCAAGGATGGAGCATCAATTCATTTCCCTCTCCCCTTTCTCCTCTCTTCATCTGAGATTTGAAACAGGTCTGTGTTGCCCAGGCTGGTCTCAATCTCCTGGGATTAAGTGATGCTTCCACCTCTGCCTCCTGAGCCCCGGAACTACAAGTGTGCAACACCCTGTCAACCTTGACAATTCATATTTGTTAGAGGGGAGAAAACCTGCCTGGAATTCAATTCAGGAAGCTTGAGTTCTAGTCCTACCTGTGCTTGTTATGTGAATTTATGCAAATCATTTAACTTCTCTTGACCAATTTTTCAACTGTAATAAGGAAAGCAGCAATTGGGAGTGTAGTTCAGTGGTGAAGCACTTCCTTAGCATGGATGAACCCTTGGATTAAATCCCTAGAACAACAACAACAAAGATTAATGTGATCTAGTCTCACAAGTGATTCAACTGGATCTGGAGTTTCATATAATTAGCAAAAATTCCCTGTTCTTCAGTCCTCATATACATCTCTAAAAATGTTCATAGGCACACTGTCATGTATAATCTACCAGTCAAAAAATTTCTAGTATAGGCCAGGCATGGTGGCACATGCCTGTAATCCCAGCAACTAGGAGGTTAAGGCAGAAGGATCACCAGGAGTTCGAGGCCAGCCTGGGCCTCCTATTGAATTCAAGACCAGCCTGAAGTACATAGTGAGACACTGACTCAAAAAAAAAAAAAAAAAAATTTGTATGTCTTCTCCTCCCCCATTTCTAATGCAATTTCATTATTCATAGAAGAGTATTATGTAAGCATAAGCCAAGTAAGGTAACTTACAGTACTTTATACATGAAGGTGAGAACCAATTCCGTATACCTTTTGCCAGTTATTTGAAAAAATTAATAAAGGCAATTTTGGTCTCCACCTCCCTCACTTCTTTGCCCTCTGCCTCAAGCAGACTGGCTGATAACATAAAAAGTGAAAAATCACTGACTTACATGATGTATATTCATTCATTTGATAAATACCTGAGGACCCAATTACACACCAAATATTAAGCTAAGCACAACGTTTAGAAAAAGGAATTTTTGGACAGGACAGAACTACATATAACAAAGTGGATAGACTAGAGTCCTGGGGCCTTAATTATTACATACTAAGACTTGATGACACGATCCTCTCTTGACTGACTAAAACTTGGCTGGAAGAGAACTGTGTACCAAGTTTCCCCAGAATAAATCACCGCCATCACCAACACCACCAACACCAAAAACCTGTATGTGTATGTCTCTTATTCATCAAGAAGGATGGAAGCTGAGAAAGAAAACAAGTTGGGCATGTCACAGAGACAACGAGAAGCAGTGGCTGCAAACTGCGCGCGGCCTGAATGAAAAGCACAGGTCCTGGCTACCTATTAATTGGACTATGCCCTAATGAGTCCTGAAGTTCTTCAAGATTCTAAATCCTACAAACTGATTTCAAGATTTATACTGGAACACTACTTTCTCAATTACAGGGTAAGAAAGTTAGTTCTGTAAAGCTTGTAAATCTAAATTTCACCCCCTAACTAAAATTCTGCTGGTGGGTATCCGGTACAAAGTCGTGCTTTATTGCACAAGAGGTTGGTAATCCTTGAATTAACTCATTTCTCATTGTAACTCCAACCTGCGAAACAAGCAGAGGGGAAGAGCGCTGGCCACATTTTCGCTCTTCGTGCACATCAGCACCTCTGCTTCTTAACCACCTCCCTAACTCGCTTCCACTTCATAGAACTTGAAGCAAGGGGGTAAAGTCCGGCATTGGTTAGTAAGGCGTCTTCTAAGTTATTCCAAGCAGCAAGCAGCTTTCTGAAAAGCCGCTAGGTGTGCTTTCTCTCTCTCTCTTTCTTTTTTTGGAACTGGGCAATTTCTAAACTTGTGGGAAGGCATTGCAGGCGCGGGTCAGTCGCGGGGAGCGGGGGGAGGGAGCGGGCCTGGGGACAAGAGCGCCGACAGGGCGACCCCGACGGGACTGCAGCACCTCGGGGCCCCGGAGCGAGGGCGCGGGGGCGACAAAGGCCAAAAGCGCGGGCTATGGGGGCGACAGGGTCTACGCAAAAGCGCCGAGCTCCCCTCAGGACGCCCCGAGATGGAAACCGGGGGACCCTCTCGCCACCCAAAAGGAGTCTCAGAGGGTACCTGACTTCGGGCGGCCAGTCCACAGCCCCCTCCCGCCGCCCCGGCCGCAGAGGAGCCCGCTTCTCCGCAGAGCCGCCACGCTCCACAGCATGGCGCACCGCTCGGACCGCACCGGCCGGGGAGTGAGGAGCGAACCGCGCCGCGGTGCCTTCCGCCGCTGGGGGCGCTCGCGGGCACCTCAGGCTCCGCCCCCCACCGGGCGGGGCGGGGCGGGACGCTGGTGAATTCGCGCCGTCCCCTAGGCAGGCGTCATCCCTTTGGCGCAGATGGAAGACTGGTAGTCTGGGAAGACCCTCACTGTGACCTGGTGTTCTGTTTTTCCTTTATTGTTTTTTTCTTCACTTAAATCCACGCAAATCTCTTCCGAATTTAGTAGCTTATTTGTCCCGCCGCCCGTTGCGGAACCTTTATGATAGGAACTACAGTGCCTTAAGGCGTTGGCGGCCGGCGGACTGTTTGGGTAAAGGACTACCAGTTCTCGGTGGCGGGTCCGTCGATACAGTTCCGGTAGGAGAACGCGGCAGTGAAGTTTTCGTCCTCGGTTCCTGCCATGCACCGACCGAATTTTCGACCCCCGACTCCTCCTTACCCGGGCCCGGGTGTAGGAGGCTGGGGTAGCGGGAGCAGCTTCCGGGGTACCCCGGGCGGGGGCGGACCGCGGCCGCCCTCCCCTCGGGACGGGTACGGGAGTCCGCACCATACGCCGCCGTGCGGGCCCCGGGCTAGGCCCTACGGAAGCAGCCATTCTCCGCGACACGGCGGCGGCTTCTCGGGGGGCCGGCTCGGGTCTCCGTCCCCTGGCGGCTACCCTGGCTCCTACTCCAGGTCCCCCGCGGGGTCCCAGCAGCAATTCGGCTACTCCCCAGGGCAGCAGCAGACCCACCCCCAGGTAATTGTAGCCAGCGTTTGCCGAGCTCTTCCTGTGTGGCAGGCATGGTACTCATATTCCCTTTACGTGGATTATTTTGTTTAATCCTCTGAGATGATTTTCTATTGTTAGCCCTGTTCTGCAGATGAGTCAACGGAAGCTTAGAGAATTTAAATTTATTTTCCTTACAGTCAGCCTAAAAAGTGGCAGAGCTGTAGTTGTTCTAGAGCCCTGTGCTTTTAACCAGTAAACTGCCATTCATAACAGTTTTCCCAAATTCTGTTTCCTCCTCTTTGCCAAGGGTCTTATCAGTTCGTCTCAGTAAATTATTCTAAGCCCGTGAGCTCCGAGGGGAGAAAATTGAATGAAAAACCCCAGGATATTGTTTCTGTTGATTATAGGGTGTTGCCATTTTCTACAGCGGTTACCTGTCTTTCCCCCCCCCCTTCTTTTTTTTAACCTCTCTTTTTTCGAGCTACGTTTCCCTTCGGTAGTACTGAAAGTACTTCATTTCAGTGAGAGTGAATACAAGGCAGAGGAAATATTTCCAATATGTCTAGGATTTCTTCCGCTAACAACTTGGAACTACTCCGTGTTTTCCAACTTTGTGTGTACTAAATCATCCCTACCTCTTTGAGCTTAGAGCTAATGAAGTAGAAAATTTTCGTGAGATGGAAAGTTTCTAGAAACTTTATAGGGTTAAAATTATGTTTTTATGGGCCGGGGATTTAGCTCAGTGGCGCCGCGCCTGCTTCACAAGCGCGGGCAAAGTCCTGAGTTCGATCCCCAGTACCAAAAAAAAAAAATTGATTTTTCTCCAGGATCAAAAGTAAATTTACAGAGAAAATTGAATACAATTATTTTACTTCATCATTGCTTGTATTTGAATTCACTACCGCTTGTGTTTAATAACTAGAGAGTTATTACATAGGTGACAGTGGGAATGGAACTAGTAAGTATACTAAATTGGTTTAAGGACTTTTAACAAAAACACTAGATTAAAGGAAGTATGAACTTTGCAATTGAATGTACCTGTATTTGGTTTCAAGATACAACTTTTAACCAACAGTGTGATCCACACTAGTCTTTAACAAAAGGAAAAACGTACCAATTATCTTTACTAAATGTTTTTTTAACTGATGATTTTTTTCCTAAAGGGTTCTCCAAGGACATCTACTCCATTTGGATCAGGGCGTGTTAGAGAAAAAAGAATGTCTAATGAGTTGGAAAGTTATTTCAAGCCTTCAATGCTTGAAGACCCTTGGGCTGGCCTAGAACCAGTATCTGTAGTGGATATAAGCCAACAATACAGCAATACTCAAACATTCACAGGCAAAAAAGGAAGATACTTTTGTTAACATTTCTGAAATTCACCTGGAAGCTTCATGTGTCAGGACCATCTTGGACAAAACTTTAACTTTGTGATTAAGTTGAACCCAAAGATGATGACTTTCAATAACTAGTAAGGCCTTCATATTTTTCATCACATCAAGTGTTGATGTTAGAGAAGAAGATAGGATAATTTGCAGTATTTAGCTCTCTGGAAGTGCCTACCACATTTAGAAGATTTACAGTTTCCATATATTTAATATTCCTGGTTATATAATGGACATTTGTCTTTTAATGTTTTTCCAATGTTTTAAAATAAAACATTTTGTCTTTCTAGCTATATTGTGATTTTCTGGTATGATAAGCAAAATTACTAAAATAATATCTTGTAATCACTTAGAATTTATAGAATGTTTTTGCAAACTAATTTTGACAATGAAATAGATAAAATGGATAAACCATTCTTTGAGCTATAGACAGTTCTATTCATAAAGGAAGAGAATAGCAGAATTCTATTCATATTTGAAATAACCATCTTTCTGTGTGCATGTTTTATCTAAAGCTTCTGTGAGAATGTATTGGAAGTTGATTTCAAGTCATAAAAACCAACTTATCATGAGCTTATACTCATGTAATCAGAAAAGACAAAGATAGAACATGCATAGCTAGATAAGTGTTCTGTCTCAGTTTCTCAGTATCTCACAATTGTGGAATTATTTACTCTTGAGGCCAAAGAAGTTGGCTACCAGCAATCTCAAATCATTTAATTCTGTCAATCCCAGAGAGGGCAAATTGACCATGCTTAGATGATGTTACTGTATTGTGAAACCACCCAAGGCAGTTAGTCCTAATTACAGTAGCTTGAACTACAGACCCACCCCTATACTGAGAGGAAGTTCTATGATCTATTAGTCCCACTAAAACTGCTTGGACTAGAGAAGTGGTTTTCCAGAGAAAGAGATGCTATGTGTGTATATACCTATAGTAAAGAATATAGAACAGAATGCATTTCTCCGCAGTTTTTTAAATCAAGCCTTAAGTGCACTCTTGTTAGCTATTTTAGGGCCACAAAACATGAAAATGGAACTACTTAAAATTTTGTTTCAACATTCCCAAAAAGAAACATCTAAAAATGAAATGATCACACCACCTGTTTAAGCCATACCAAATTCTCTTTGTTTAATGAAAGCTCTGTGAAAGCCACAATTTTGGAAATTCTCTACCTGTGTGAGTTAACTTCTCTACGTATGATTTTCTCACATGGGGAAATGAATAGTACCTATGTTATAGAAGTGCCATGTTTGGAGAGTAAATGGATTTATATGTGTGAAACTCTAAGCCAGGGCAGGGCAGATAGTAAGCACTCAATAAATGGGCTTTCTTTTATATCCTTTGTGTCCTCAGTTTTTAAAGTAATACCAGCAAAATAGGCACTAAATAAATATTTGGTGAATGAATACAGAAACTCTGTATTATTACTACTATGTTTCTCTACCTATTCTACATATAGTAAAGGGATAAGAGTGATTTTACCCAGTATTTTAAAGGAAAAATCCTTCCCTAACATCTTGTCTTGCCAGATATGTTGAGGTGTGTGAGACAGATGCATGAGACAATTAAAGTAAGTAGACTATTTTTTAAATACCTTTCACTAAACTTCATATGTAAGAAAAATCTTCAGAAATTGATTCTTGGAGATAATTATCAAATCTTTTAGAGATTGTTAGGTTATTGTCAGAGACAAAGGGAAGTTAGGATGCCAGGTACAGTGGTACATGCCTGTAATCCCAGCTACTTGCAGGCAGGGCAAAGAGGATTGAAAGTTCAAGGCAAGCCTGTGCTACTTAGCAAGACCCTACCTCAGAAAATAAAACAATTTTATGCCAGTGTATTTGCATCATACTTGGGAAACAGTCAAATGTAACTCTCCTAATAATTTACATGCATTTTGTTTCTCTGCTTTACTTGAGAAGCAAAATAGTAAACGAGTAAAATTTCTTGCTAAGTTACCAACACCTCCTTCTTTAGATTGGGCCTTTGATGACTTTTTTGAAAAGGCGAAATGTGTTTTTTTCCCCCAGGAAAGATGGATACACCATTGGTAGTGTATACAGCATTGTAGATAAAGTCTTTATGGCATTGGTAATTTGGTTTAATTTCTATTTTTGTTGTTCAGGTGAGTGAAAAAACTTTTTACTCTTTAAAATAGAAAGTGATTGGTTTTGTAGTGTTCCAGAATATACATTTTACATCCATAGAAACTGAAAACTTTTTAGAAAAATGTATTATTAAGAATGCGTCTAAGAAAGTCAGATAATGAAGGAAATACTGAACTATGAGAGAATCTTCAAACCAAAGATATGCACACTGCTGGGAGTATTCAGCTTTCCAAGAGATGGAGAGGCATGGTTTCCTTTAAGGGAATCCAAATTCAGATTCTCAATTCCCTTATAAACTCCTTGTTAAAATAGATCTACCTAAGAATATGTCCACAATTAAGAGATCATATCAGTTCTTTTCATAATTTCCTTCCGTTTTATAAAAGAAACCCGTGGCAAGTTATATTTTCCAAAAGTGACCCTGATATCATTTCAGGTTGCACATACTCTCCCAGAACCTTGCCACAGAGTCCTGTCAAGATGTTGTATCCCTTCCATTTGTACCTGAACAGACGTCTCTGACTGCCCTAATTGAGGGAGTTTAATGAAAATGAATGTAATCTCATTATTGGTGAAGTATGGGGTTAGAAATGGGTTACCAGTGGCCCATGTGGAAATGTTCATAATTCAGATGTATTTATCAAGTAGAGAGATGATTGTGTCAGTTTAATGACCTTACCTTTTTTGTTTTCTGACAATTTACAAAGCCAGCTCTGAGGGTAAAATGTATAAAAGAAAACATGAACATAACAT